CTCCCATTTTGAAAAATTTCCGAATCCAAAGCGGATATCCGGATGCGGCCGCCCATTGCTACTCCATAGCCTGTACACTTGACTGTACAACTTCCAATTTGGTTTTGGAAGCCTCACTTGGGCTCAGGACACCTGGTGGCTAGCGGGAGGGCCAGCAGAGCCCCGCCTTGATTACTGCGACCATACGGGGATACAGGAAAAAGGGTTGCAAAAAAAAAAACTTCTGAATTACAGCTGATCCCAAAACTGCAAGCTTTTTGGGATCAGCTGTATTACACTTGAATTCCCCAATTGTGATGCTATAATTTTCATACAATGTTTCAATATCTTTCCCATAGGGTCTGAAAATCTGCTCCCAGTTTTCAATCCTCCATTGACATCCAAACCATATCCCTAAAGTTGTGAATTATGTATTGGTGAACAATGCACCTTGGAGGCCAAGGGGAACTTGCCAATGATCATCTGGCTCTGGGTTTGTAGGAAAAAGCACTGTCAACCATGCTTAGTACGCATCAAGGTCCTTGATCCTAAGGTGACAGTGGCTAGTTTGCAACACAACCATTCTGTGTAGATATTCCAATCCGATCAAGTTTCCCACGCCTGGTTAGCTCAGTCGGTAGAGCATTTGACTTTTACGCTGCTTATAACAAGGTTGCACGCAATGTGAGAAGCGGTCATCAAAATGTCGGGGGTTCGAGCCCCCCATTGGGCGCTGTTTTTGACCATTTTTGTTTCATATGGGAGGACAAAGAGATTGTTTCAACATATAAATAAGTGAGAAAGAGATGGTATTGTTAAACTCAAAATGCAATGGACAAACAGCAAATGTATCTCAGTTTTCTGTGTCATTCTTGAAGAGGGGGAACGATTCTTTGAAGTGACCTTGCGCAAGTTTAGAATACTCCCCCTAGCAGCCATATTCATGTTGTTTCGTCAGTGATACGACAAAGATTATCGTCAGAAAGGGGTGGAACAAAAGGTTTAACTCACCCTCGTCCCCTCCCTCACCACCACTATCCATTCCCTCGTCAGCATCACCATTATCGAAGTAATTGTTATCATAATCCGGCTACAAAGCGGCAGACAAGTTATAGTTAGCAACAGCCCCCCTCTCCAAATATAAAGAAGAAAAATGAGTGAAAGAGGCGACTAACATCATCTTCATCAATTTCTTCTTCTTCCATTTGTGCAACTTCCTCTTCCTCTTCTTTATCGTCCTTCTCGCCGTCCTCCTCCCCCTCCAGATCGTCCGCCAGGCCAGACAAAGCAGACTTCCCAGTTGCACGCTTCGACTTGCTTTTCTTGACTGTGGTCTTTTTTTTACCTTCGGAAAAGCTAGTCCATAGATCCGGTGGAAAAAAAGATTTCTCCATCAGGTGAAGATACCTGGATTTATCTGAGCTGTCGGTTGAGTTCCCAGCTGGTTGTTTTGCTTCACCACGTTCGGCCGAATTCGCAGCTTTGTAGCGATCAGAGTACAACCAATCCTCTGAAGAGGCCTCTGGCTGGAGATCAAGTTTCGAGAACTGGTGGATAAAAGGCTTGGCCAGACTTTGACGTTGCTTGTTTTTCTTTGACCCAACGGTTGGTTTCAGATCGCCTTCGATAACCCAGCGCTGGCGAGATGAAGGGTATGCGGGATACAGCCATCGGTCGACGGCGGGAGCGACCGTTTGGGCTTCCTGATTCGAGGGTAAATCGGTCACGGGAAGATTAACGCCTGCCGTAGGATAGAGTACATCGCCGATATCGGCACGAGATGTCGCCAGAAGGTCGGCAAATGATAAAGTTCCGAGTGACAAGTCTGCCAGCGCCCCGCGTCCAGCTCCTCCCCCACCTCGTCCACCTCGACCGCCTCGACCGCCACCACGACCAAAAGACATCTGGTTTTAATTGGATCAACAGGTCCGTTATTCAGGCCACTGGTTCGATGCTGGTTTGTGGATTGGAGCTGACTGGAGGAAGCATTAGCCATACAGTTGGTTCGCAAGGGCTCCGTGCCCGGGCAGCAGACACTTGGCATGTATGCATAGAGGCTCCATCGCCTTACAGGGGGGTTCCCCATGTGTGACCACCCTGCAAAAAGTCTGACACATGTTTGGGTATGTATGCGTAGTTTTTTGCCCATCAATCTCCACACAGACCTAAATCACTCATGAGTGTCTAAGTGGTCCATTTAGCAAGTGCTATGTACTTGGGTGCAGTGTTAAGAACAGATTTTGTGGCCGCTCCTTGATTTTGCAGGTGCAGAACTAGCATGGATACGTTTGGAACACAGGAAAGATTACTTGGTTTGTATTGCTCCAATTGTGATATATTTTTCCCTGGCCATTCAGTCCACCAACCATTCTGCTCAAACACTTGATCAGAATTGTTAGATAGAAATGTGAACCATTCTTGAAAGGATGAATCAGTTTGATGTGGGTGCTGAGACTGCGCTCCCCAGAACCTTGCTATACCATCAAACAACAAAGGAAGCTGTGTGCATTTCAAGACCCGGGGAAGTGGAGGAAGCCGTGTGCATTTCCGAAAGATAATCGTCTAACTTGTTTTGACAAGTCTTGGTGAAGAATGAAGACACTCTTGACCACACCATGCCTCATGTTACTAGCCATGGGTGGAACATCCTCCTCGCCGCCAACAGATTCAACTTGGGCTATTCAAAAATTGTCCAACTTTGAATCCATCATTTCGTATGACGAATTAGTAAATCAAATTTTGAAAGAGCCCTTATGTTTCCATGAACCAACTCTTCATTCTCAATTCTCAGGGCCAAATTTCCGTCCACAAGCCAATCACCAGGAACTCAATGACAAAATGGTGTATTCTCCACAGCAGCTCACCGCTAGCGATCAGGGACTACCTCGCCCTCCCAAGCGCAAATGGCATGTCATCCTCACAGAAGGTGCAGAAAATCAGTCTCCATCGAAGCAAACGGAAATAGTGGAGGAATGCCCAAAGAGCCCGGCTGAGGAGACTAGATCAATGTTGTTGGAAGGAGCGGATTTGGATCCTGACGAAATCATGAGGAAGAATGAAGAATTGATGAGGAACACAAGTGATTTTGTCCCACATGCTCAACTTGACATGCAAGAGGAAAAGTCCAAAGAGCCTTCCATCCCAACCAAGTTGTTCCATGTCTATAATTGGGAATATGTCAAACAATCCCCTCAAGATCAAACCACGGAAAGGAACAATGCTGATCGCCTTGAAGAGCTCTTTAGTTTGTTGAATAGCTGCAAAACTATACCCCCACAAGGCCCACTCTTCTGGATCCCGAGAGAGAATGTGCATAAGTTTCTGAAAAGGTATAGAAAGCTGCGCTTGCAGTCTCCAGGGAGGAGTGTACATCGAGAAAGAAAGAGGGTACTTGGGAAGCTAATCGCCGAGTTATGCGACGAAAAATTGGATATCGAGAAATATCCTATCTTCTCGGACGAAATCATTAAGTCATTAAGAGATAGACTTGCATCTCGACTGAAAATAAATCAAACATCAAATGAGACGAGACAAAATGATAATAGACTGCTCAGGAAAGTTCAAAAAATCATACAATACATAACAAATGTAACCAAAATATCAGTCTTCTTAATCATCACTCATCTGTCTTTGTTTAAGGAGCACCAGAATGAAATTATAAGCAGGGAGGAGGTCAACAAAATCTTATGTTTTATGAGAGATCTATGGAAAGATATGGAACAAGAAGAATTGTTATTAGAACCAAGTAAATATACATGGATCAAGAGAAGCTCAGATATGTTCAGACTGGAAGAGAAACAAGATGACTTAAGAAATGAGAAGGCCTGGGCTAATGGATATTCTCTTTGGTATTTCGTTGCTGAAGATATTGTCAAATATTGGACAGAATCAAATCGAAACAAATTCAAATTAAGATGGGGTAAAAGAGAATACCCATCTGAAGTAAGTCAGATAATTGAATTGATCATCTCTTACGCAAATTACGAAACCATCATCAATTCATAATCATAATAGCAACCTTCAGGAAACATAGCCAATTTGGAAGAATCTTCATGGGAAGCAACAAGGTAAAACTTGTTAATGACTCTTGAGTCATAGGAATTTGGCAGAACTTCAGTTTTTAAAATTCTTATTACCATCTTATCCTAATCTGTAAGGCCCCGTTTGGCCGTCCATAATTTGTAATTTTGAGTCAAGATTTGGCAGGAGTTTGTGCGAAAATTTTATATCATTTCATATCGCACGGTCCAAATCCGCACCAAACCTTAGCCAAATCACAAATCATGATTTGCGGCCAAACGGGGCCTAAAAAAATCCAGTTTTCCTGATCCTGAAAATATAAAAAATTCTCTCTTATGATATTAAAACTGGCCAAAAAATAGGATTCAACATGATTAAATAAAGCTCAAGAGCATCCTGGAAATACAATGGAGATATTGTGAGCTACAAGTTGGAAAAATTGGTCTTGTAATTTATATATACTAGAATCCATTTCTTCTCAGTTTAGTTGTCATCATATGGTTAAAACAAAGCAAAAAAATAATTCATGAGAGAAAACGTTGAGTTGTGCAATTGAACTCTATATTTCATCTCAATAAGTTTCATGCCATAAGCTGAAATTTATAGCCACCTTATAAATCACAAAAACCAATATTTTCCCCCTTGATCTTGGGAAAACAAAGAAAAATGGAAAATGAATCACTTGTTTTGATTTGCAAGAAAAATCAAACCTTTCATGATTTGCTAAAATTGGATCATGTTTTTTCAATTGCATTTGAAGTGTGAAATAATCCTGAAATTATGAAACCTGGAAAGAATATTTTATCTGTTGAATGATCTGGGTTGTCAATAAGAGGGTGGTATGATGAGTATGTACTATGAGAAATTATGGATACATGCATCTTTGGTAAAAATTCATTGCCACTCTTTTGGTATATTCTTGTTCTCTTGATCTTTGGTGATAAGTATAGTTTTAGGTGACAACTTCCATCTATTGTTATTTAATCTGTGGGTTTGAGCAAATGATTGGACAAAAACTCCTTACAAGATTGTATTTTTTGAGTCCCATTCTAAAGTGAAGCTTCTATGTAAGAGAGTAACTGTTCTTAAGGATGTTGTTTTTCCCACAGCACTCTTTTTTGCAGTGAAATGGCTATGTATAACAAGCTGTATGTCTGTTTTTGGGCAGTAAGTATAGGAATTGGGTCGGAACTATCCTTATGTTTATAAAAATGGTTCACTGTCTGATCATTTTTATTTGCAGAATCCTTTTTGGGCCTGGTTCAGTATTTGCCACCTCAAGCTCAGGAAGATGTTGTTAGAGGCAACCAACATAAGAGTGTACCGGGTGTAACATTGCTCCATACAATCCTTGGTCACAGCAAGTTGTTAAGATCCATTTTTTTCAGTCTTCAGTATCACCATTATCTTCATGGAGACTTGTTACCTTCTTTCCTTCGGATAAAAGGGGAGCTTGCTATGGGTGTGGTGCTTCGGTCGGGCTGGCTTCCGCCTGGGGCCCTCGGTGCGCGTTGCGAACACTCGGATCCACATATTTACGTCGCCAGGTGGTCGGTACTCCATAGTATGCATTTTTCCCCTGCTCACCATCTCACCACCCAATTCCGTCTAGTAGCAACAGAAAAACAATTGTCGACACCGGAAGCTCCCGAATTTCATCGACCCACCTGAATAGATACTCAGCTTCTCCTCACTTATCTTCAGTCGTTTATCAGTCTTACCCTCAGTCGACACGTCACCCAAACCGCATCGGTCCAACTGTACCATATCGGACGCTGTTTAAATCAATCGTCCCTCAAGACTTAGCACGGGAACCAGGATGGACGGAGGTAAGAATTTGAGCCTGCTGTGAGCTCTCTCGAGTAGCTTTGATGACTGACTCCAGCGTGGTTCTTTTGGCATCAGATCTCATCACACTAGTAAACAAGCTACAGGACACTTTCAATGCCATTGGTGGTGAAACTGTCGATTTACCCCAGATCGTTGTAGTGGGCTCACAGAGCTCAGGAAAATCATCGGTCCTCGAAACGTAAGCGTATGGATTTGCTGACGACTCGAATTAGAAATTTACAGAAACTGATTTTTTTCTTGAGGAATTTCCGATTTTTTAGAATCGTTGGACGAGATTTTCTGCCCAGGGGATCCGGAATCGTTACCCGCCGTCCGCTTGTACTTCAATTGATCCATCTTCCATCCACTTCCCCTTCAGAATCATCTTCATCCTTGTCTGGGCCCGAATACGGAGAATTTTTACATCTCCCAAATCGAAGATTTACCGAATTTGAGGAGATCAGGAAAGAGATCGAAAACGAGACTTTGAGAGTAGCCGGTAGTAACAACGGCATCAGTCGACTTCCCATTAATGTCAAGATTCATAGTCCGCGGGTCCTCAACTTGACCTTGGTTGACTTGCCCGGTCTCACCAAAGTATGTGGATTTTCCTTATTCGACCCTCTTTTTACAACAACCTAGCCATTCTCTGCCTTGTAATTAACCCACTCAATCAACTTGATCATCAAAGCTTCCGGTGGGTGATCAACCAACAGATATCGAGCGTCAGATACGTAACCTCGTCCTGGAATACATCTCCAAACCTAACAGGTAACTATTTCTGATTTGTCTTAAGAGAAGAGATGATCCAATTTGATCCATGGTGATTTTTTTTTTTGCCAGTGTTATTCTCGCCGTCTCGCCCGCCAACGTAGATCTTGCCAACTCTGACTCACTAAAGTTGGCACGGAGTGTCGATCCTCAAGGAAGAAGAACCATCGGAGTGCTCACTAAACTTGATCTGATGGACACGGGTACCAATGCACTCGACATTCTTACCGGCAGGGTCTATCCACTCAAGCTGGGTTTTACGGGTATTGTCAACAGAAGTCAACATGATATCAACATGAAGCTACCCATGGAACAAGCTTTGGCCAAGGAGGATGAGTTCTTCCGTAGTCATCCCGCCTATAGGAATATCGCACACCGCTGTGGAACTAAATTTTTGGCCAAGACGTTAAACCAAGTGAGAAACCAAAAGTTCATTGTCAGCTTAGTTCTTGAAACTGACCCCTATCTCTAAATATCGTGTTTGCAGGTGTTAATGTCACACATTCGCGATAAACTACCGGATATGAAGGCTAGACTCAATACACTCATGGGTCAAACCCAACAAGAACTGAACGCGTTCGGTGGCGATTCTGCCTTTTGGGGCAAACAGAATCGGGGCTCTTTGGTTTTAAAGCTGATGACGCAATTTGTGAAAGACTTTGTTTCGTCAATCGATGGTAGTCAAGCCAATCTTTCGACCAAAGAGCTGTGCGGTGGTGCAAGGATTCATTACATTTTTAACGAGGTTTTCGGACAGGCTCTCCAAACCTTAAACCCTATGGAAAACCTGAATAACATGGATATCAGGACTTCTATTCGCAACTCGACTGGAACTCGATCGAGTCTTTTCATACCTGAAGCTGCCTTTGACTTGCTCATCAAGCCTCAAATCAAATTACTTGAACCTCCTGGTTTGCGCTGCGTTGAGCTAGTTTATGAAGAATTGATGAAAATATGTCACAATTGCACAAACTCAGTGAGTCTATGAGTCTTGATTGCTTTGTCCTCGAGTTTCTCAGACTTTTACGTTTTGCTCTCGCCTCGAAAATAGGAATTGCAACGATACCCCAGGTTACACGCACAGTTAATTGAAGCCGTGTCTGAGCTACTCCGGGAGAGATTAGGGCCTACATCTGAATATGTCCAGTCACTCATTGATATACAAGCCGCCTACATTAACACCAACCATCCCGATTTTATGAAAAATACAACCATGAATGGGGGATCACAGTATCCTCACGGATCACATGTGCATGTTAATGGGTCTTCAGATCAAAGAAGGGTGCGCCAAGGTTCTTCTCCGCTGACTATCACATCTAATGGCTCTGCGGGTAGCTGGGATTTCATCCGCGGTTCGCCACTTTCTCATCCGTTTTTTTTTTTTCTTTTTATCTTTGCCTTCTAAATGCAGTCTGTTTCTGACGGAGATGTCGAGGATTCCTCGAGTGCGAATGAAGACGAGGATGGGACTTCTCAGCGAAGCGCAGCCTTTCAAAACCACCGACAAGTCCCGACGCTCAATGGCCAGGTCTTCCGGCCTTCATCTGCGCCGATCGACCAGCTTCAATCCGGAAGTCACTTAGCCGGAGCGGTTAACCCCAAGCGCATTGCCTCGGATAATCGACATAGTGGCCCGCCCAACCCACCGCCCTCTCACTACCATCGTGATCATCATCACTCAACCTCGCTACAGTATGGTTCTGCCAAGGATAGTTTCCTCAACTATTTCTTTGGTGGAACTACTAACGGCGTTGGTAACGCTATGTTAACTCAACCAATCAATCGATCTCGACACAAGACAGTGACTCATGATTCGGGTGAGAACTCATCTTCTCAGCTCATCGATGGATCCCATTCCCTTCAGGTTGGACACAAAACCCCAGGATTTGAAGGGGCTCATGCTGCGTTTAACATGAAAAGCTTGGACAAGCACTTCCCAGTGACTGTCAGTACAAATCACCAAAACAATTTGAACGTTGCTTGGGTAGGATTGGAGCACCGATAGTTTTTTTTTGTTCTTGTGGATTTTGTAGACTGTGGGTGATGACCAGAAGGAAGTCCATCTTTCAGAACGGGAACAGATGGAAATCAACCTTATTCGATCCCTCATGATGTCCTATTTCAGCATTGTTCGGCAGACGATACAAGATCTCGTACCTAAAGGTAAATTTGAAAAGTCAACCAAGTTTCATGCACCTCATTGCTCTCAAACTAACAATAATTTTAAAAACATTAAAACACACAGCTGTCATGCATTTGTTGGTAAACCATGTTAGGGAAGGCGTGCAGAATCGATTAGTTTCCAGCTTGTACAGGGAAGAGTTGTTTGAAGGTTTGCTTATGGAAGACGAAGGGTTGAGAACGGAGCGAGAAAGAGTCAAGGCACTCCTGGATGCCTATAAAGATGCTTTCAAGGTTTGTCCAATTGTTATTATCTGCTTGCTTAAATCAGTATAGCAATGTTGACATGCTTTTTATCTCATTGTCATTCTGGTTAACTTTATTTTTATTCTTTTAGACTTTGAGTGAAGTATTGTGAATACTTTTTTTTTCTCTTTTGTGTTTCAATCTCCAAGTATGACACTTCCAATGATCCAACATAGATTCACATTGAGTGTATTAAAGTGTTCTTATTTTTTTTTCTTGGGAATGGGGGTAATATACGTGTTCTTAGCCCACTTTTTCCTTATGCAACATTATCATTATTATTCAACCTTGCTTCGTTTTGGTTCCATTTTCTAATATTGAGATTTTTGTTGGCTGAATTGTATACTTCTTTTTGTCTTTTTGGTGATCTCTGTTTTGATCATTGGGTGGTCCGACATTGATAACCCTGTAATCTGGTGGTCTTGTGTGTCCTGTCTGGTACTTACTCTTAGCCCTGATGATAAGGAGGATCAGCCCATGCTGAGGGATCAGTACAAAATGAGGATCCAAAATGGCCCGGTAAAACCAAAAACACAGTCAAGGTTACCTTAATCTGTAAGCATGGGCTGAAATCCAATTAAAAATCCTCATCCATAATAACAGTCTTCTTTCTATGTTGCTCAATTTCTCCCCTTCTTTAGGGCTCTATTTTGACTGCATATGGATGGACAATTATGTAGTTGTAAAGTTGGTTAGGATAAATATGCCCCACCTTGGACAGTTTGCTTTTCTTGGAAATTTTTGTAGATATGGTTTGTCTTGTTTTGATTTTCACAGGTAAGCAAGATCATTCATTAGCTTCTTATTACTCTTTGGGAACCACTAACACAGGTTATGCAACCATATCCCCCCCCTCTCCACACACACTCTCCCCTCAAAATAATGTCACACTTTCTTCATTTTGCCCTTGGAATTTTTTAGACCTTTGTTACTTTTTTTGCTAGATAAATATCTAGATTACTGGAAGCCTTGCCTTCTTCTTGGTCAAGATAATATCAAACTCTTACATGTGTTTTACATATGACTTTTTTTTCATGTCAAATTTTGCATCATTTTTTCATTTACATATGTACAGTGGGTGGACCGTTATTTTTGGCTGCTTGTTTTGGATTCCAGAGCTTCAAAGCACAAACTTGAAGTCACAAGAATTGGTGAAGTGGTGCAGAATAGGTCCCAAAGAATGAATATGAAAAGGGGGTTGGAAAAACGACTCCCAAAAATTCGATGACGACTCCCATTTTGGTCGAGGGGTCGTCGGACGGGAGTCGTCTTTCCAATTCCCCCTGGGGGATTGGGAGTCGACCTCCCAATCCAATTTTTTTTTTTTTATTTTTTTGGGTGGGAGTCGGGACCCAAAACCTCCTTGGCAAGTGGGAGGTTTGGGAGTCGCTTCCCTCCCACTGGCCGGGGGAGATTCCCTCCAGTCATCGAGACTGTACAGTCTCGATGACCGGAAGGAAACCCTTCCGGCCATCGAGATTGTACAGTCTCGATGACCGGAAGGAATCCCTTCCGGTCATCAAGACTGTACAGTCGTCTCGAGACCGGAAGGAAACCCTTCCGGTCATC